TGCAAGACGTTGTTGCACGTGTATTCTGGGAAAGAGAAACAGAGCAAATGAATGCCACACAATACTGTCACTTTGGAAAGCTCAACCCTGCCCTTGCGATCGTTCAAAAAATATTGAAACGCATAACATGCCAAGGCTCACGTCTGCACAACGTCATGAGGCCATTGGGATGGTCCGTGGGGGAATGTCTCAACGACAAGTGGCTGCACATTTCCACTGCCACCGGAACACCATTTCTGCACTGGTGAGACGCTACCAGAACACAAATGACGTCATCGATCGGCCACGTTCTGGACGTCCACGTATAACAACGCCAAGACAGACAGATGGATAAGGGTGACCCATTTCGCCACAGGTTTCAGACTGCAGTGATGACTGCCCGGACCATCCCAGGACTTCGCCGTATCCACCCCAACACAGTTCGACAACGTTTACGTACTCGCGGGATCAGACCACGACGTCTCGCCATACGGCCTATCCTGACACAACGTCATCGACAAGCTCGCCGAATGTGGTGCCGAAATCATGTCCGCAGACCCTTGTTTTGGTGGAGAAATGTTGTTTTTACAGATGAGTCCAGGTTTAACATTTCCCATAGTCATGGACGTCAACGTGCCTATAGACGCGTGGGAGAACGTTATGCACAGGCCTGTGTCTTGAAGAGGAATCGTTTTGGTGGTGGTTCCGTGATGATTTGGGGTCGAATAACAGCACGCCAAAGAAATCCTTTGGGGATTGTTCAGGGCAACTTAACTGGTGTGGGCTACAGGGATCAGATTCTTCGACCTGTGGCGATTCCTTTTCTGCAACGTCATGGCCCTGGGTTAACATTCCAACAGGACAATACCCGCCCTCATACGGCAAGGGTTGCTATGGATTTCTTGCAACACCACAATGTTGACTTACTGCCTCTCTCTGGATCTCTCCCCGACATGTTTGGGACGAGATGGATCGACGTCTACGCCGTCTTCCTCATCCGCTAGATAACGTCCTTGACCTTGCAACAGAACTTGAGAGAGTCTGGCGTGACATCCCACAAGCCTTCCTTGCACGTTTGATAGGCTCTATGCGTCGTCGATGCACTGCTGTACTCAATGCCGATGGTGGACATACCCCGTTATTTAGCTTGTGACATGGTCGTTTGACCCCTGTCCCGCTTGTGGACTCGTGACGTCATTGTGATTGACTTTTCAATTGAAATTCTCCCGACTTGTTATGGTCTCATGATCCCTCCATTACAGTTTATATGTACCTTTGACATTGTTATCGTACTTATCAACTTGGATGATATTTTGACAATGCACAGTTTCTTTATGTGCCTAGTATACATTGTGCGCCCGAAGGGTCATAATCCACAAACAAGCATAATATGATATGAATATATATGGCTAACTCTACGATGGTTCGCTAAAAGATCAAAGGTGCCGATGGTACTTTATCAGATGATAAAAGGACACATTTTACATTACGTCACATGTATTGACGTCACTACGCCATTCTAGTCTACCTTCTCGTAATCAACCGTACCACTGGTAGCCGACATCACGATAAATTTCAGTTGTCATTGCAGTATGACATTGCCGTACAGTCCCCTACAGTATAAAATACCTCCTGGCGCACCGTTTCTTGGTTTGCAGTAGCTTTACTCGGCTAACATTACCGACGGAAACAAAATGTTTAACGTTTCAAGGAAAAAAACTTTTCAGCTTGACTCACAATGAAACATCGACACGGCAACGTTCGCTAACAAAGACTTTTTTTTGTCCCACAATGCATCCGTGGAACGTCGGGTGACTGGACAGTTTCATCTGGATGTACTGATCTGATCGTATATTAGAAGTGTGAATGCTACATTAATATTGCCCCAATCTCAGATGTAGTAAAATAATATGTAAAAGATAGTTCACCCAAACGTAAACCGTCTTCAAATTGTTCATAATTTGTTTTCTTGGTAACGTGCGATTAACGTAGGTGGGCAAACACGTCAATAGAACAGCTCGTCAGTTTGCCTTGAATGAGCATTGTTAATTCAGGTCGCAGACATCCCCGTGTTTCTTTTTGTTTTCTGCTTTAGATTAATCATCTGTAAGTATTTAATTTGACATCTTAGAAAAGGAATACAGTTCGCTCTACCCCCACTTATAGTGCAATAGAGCGCAGTTTTGCCCTGAACTATTACAACGTTTAAAGCTCTCGGTCACACGCGTCCTCGTTCTTTAACTATAATAGTTTCTCAGATAGAGGTTAAAATGAAGTGTACCCATACTTTCTCTCCGCATGTGAAGAAAGGTGTAGCTGGTTATATCTCTCAGTAAAATCAGTCCTTACGTGACTACGTTAATAAAACTCATATTAGAACCCCTGTATACGTCAATGTTGAATACATGAACAAATTAACCAATATCTACATATATGACAGACAGTTTTCGGTTATCCAGAAAAACCAATGTGCCATTTCGCTACCAACGGAAAGAGGTAACTGAGCATAACATAAAGTGAAAGTTAATCCAGGATTTTTGAGTAGCCCCCACCCCGCTCCCCTCCAGATCCGCCCTTGCTTAGACGGTCTGAAGTATGTGGTGTATTGATCATTGAGTGAAGTATGAAAGCTAGTTCACGGACCATCAACAAACTCTGCATTAATGTATGAATAACCAACATGTCGGGGTAGAATTACCACGTTTCATGTTCCTCTCACCGCCGTGAGCGATACCGTGTTCTAGTATTGCGGATGTTATGTCTGACACGCTAATGCTTGTGATTCAGAAAATGAACCCGAATACGTTATTGAAATGTTCATACTATACTTCTCATGAAAAGTTTAGTCTCACTAATATAAACGTAGCCACTTACTTCAGGCAACTGTTTTAAACTAAATTCTGCAAAATAGTCCATAACGTTGATTATTGTCAAGAGTTCCATAAATGATGAAAATCAGTAACAATTGGCAATTCTTAACGAAGCTTTACACCAAACCGCAGCTTTTCACATGCACGATATTTGCACATGCTTTTCATCAATTTGATGCATGATCCTCGTGCAATACATCTGCATAAAGTTTGCAGTTGATTCCCCCAAGTTAGTGGAGAAATCAGTCTTCGATGTAACCATAATATATATACCTTCACTTAACTTTGCTCAGTATGGACATCCAGTAACATGTGTTTCGTCGATGTCAAAAATGTTTGTCAAATTGGTTTACTGTTCTACCTTGCTATTATAGTCATATTCGTAATATTTTGTTCTTATGTGTTCTGGGCCATACGGTGAGTGAGTGAGTTTTCTTTTACGCAATATCACAGCTAGCCGCGAACAACCTTATGCTTTCGTTGTTACAACGTTATTCTGTGGGCTCCCATTGACGTTGTCACAACGTTGTGACGTGACGCTGCACAGTGACGTGATATTAACGTTGTCAGCAAGTATGGAAATTACGTTACTGTGACGTCAGAGGTGAGGTGAAATTAGGTTTTACGTCGTACTTGAGAATATTTCTCTCATATGACGGCATGCATGCGTGTGTATGTGTATGTGTGGCTGCTTGTACTAGCCTAGACTTAAGCTGGTTTTATAGTGCTAGCTCACTGAGATACCATGCCGCAGTTAAGCATGAATACCCCACTCAGACACATTATACTGACTCCGAACCGACAAGTTCTTGTTGTACCCATTAATGCCGAACGCCAGACTGAGACCAACAAGTACCATATTTTAACGTCTTTTGGTATGACGCGACCGGGGATCGAACCCGCGACCTTCCGCTCTCCTGGCGGACGCTATAACCACTACACCACGGAGGCGGTCTGTGACGTCAGAATATTCATGGGATGGTAATCACAAAGTGTAATAAAATAGGTAAATAATGCACTACGTTTTCTGAAGAAATTACGAATAATTCGATGTCACTCTTGTTTTCCTGAAAGAGACAGTTCACGTCGCGTGAAAGTTGTGAAATAACGTTATAAACATGACGTTACCAACCTACAACCTTCTCACAACATTCTGAAAACGTTGTGTGTTAGCTGGGTATGTGGTGGTGGTCTGTAAATATTCGAGTCTTGACCACACAATCCAGTGATCAACAACATGAGCATCGATCTACGAAATTGGGATACTATAACATGTGTCAACCAAGTCAGTTAGCCTGACCACCCGATTCCGTAAGTAACCTCTAAAGACCAGAATGGGTTACTGAACATTAATTCCAACCCGGATCTTCACGGTTGAGGGCCATAAAAGAGAGTTTCTAAACACCGAGGACGACAAATATGAGAGGGAGCAACATATTGTATGTTGTATAATTGCGAAGAGAATGACATTCCGATGAACATTTCCAAATCACTCCATTCCACATGTATGTTTGTATGTACGATGTATATGCGTGTGTGTATGTTCGTGTATGTGTCTGTATGACATTGTGTTGAGGTATGTGCGTATGTACAGGTTTATCTTGTATATTTATAATATGAAATAAAATAAAAAATCAATGCCATATGATAACAGTGGTGACAATTTACAGTTTTATTTTCGTCGGGTGCTTAAGTTAACAACAGGCACTCAGAAGTGTCTGAGCTTAATTAGCACATTCCATGATCACAAACAAATGCATAATGTCGACAAAACCCTAACTCATCGGCGTGAAAAAATTCATGAAAACACGAAAAGTAAACTAATTACAGAACAAATATCTGAGATTCAGGTGTTAAAGCGAAGGAATTTCTATAAACATGAGTATAAACATGAAGGCAACTGAAAGCACCACAAAGGACGGTGGTCCAACGGCCGATCACAAAACAGAGATGAATGATTTCTGCAAAACTAGGTTAGAGCCTCTCGTACTAACGGTATTTGAGTAACTAAGTATCATCCATTGCTACTTTACGTGTTATCTTCAGTTGGTGATATATACGTGACTACAGTTCTCGGATCATCAACAAACCCATCCCACATTAAGGGAGTGTATGGCTGGGAACCACTCGCTGAACTATGTGATGTGTCACCTCCATTGTTGTCTCCTGTACCCGGGGCACTTGGAAAGTAATCAGCCAACACAGGTAGTACAGAATTACTATCATCATCTTCACTGCCATGTGGCCCAGGAAAGTAGTCGGCCAAAGCAGGAAGTGCAGGGTCACTGTTGTCTTCTTCCTCTGCCGGCCCTTCTTGCTGCTCTTGCTGCTGAGAGACTTCATCGTAATCTTCTTCCTCTGCCTGTCCTTGATGTTGTCTTTGCTGTTGAGATACTTCTTCGTAATCTTCTTCCTCTACCGGTCTTTTTTGCTGTCCTTGCCGCTGAGATACTTCATCATAATCACCTATATCCCAGTATCGATGCACCTGGTAGTACTCTCCTGTTTCCACTTGCCCTGATCTCTCTGTGAGTATCGACTCATCTCTTTGGTGATTCCTGAAAATATACACATGAGTACTGATAGTACAAGAACAAGTTACCATTGATCACTAATAAACTAGTATCACACAGGTTGTTTATAAATAGTGTTTACATTCAGAAGTTAATATGTTTTGGAAATTGTGGTATTCCATACGTTTTAGTGCAAACTCCAGTCTGATTCATAATCCCAACAGATTTCTCAGCTATGCAAGTAACTTTTTGTATGTAAGTTGTTTTTATCATTATTATATTGATACAGTAGTATATACAATGGGGGTTTTGGACCAAGTCCAACAAAAGCCTCTGCAAAGCCTTATTTCCCAAATAAGGCTTTGGTCGGACCCTTAGCTCTTGCTACTATTACCCCTACTATAAAAAAGTTTGAGACGCCAGCGGGATGCGAACGCCCAATGTTATACCTTCTAGCCGCACCACTTAACCGACTGAGCTACCGGGGACTTGGCTGAAGTATGTTGGTTTAACGGGTCTATCCTGGGGCACTATGCCACGTTGACCTCGATGAAACAGTTTAATGTGAATCGCCTATGATCTCTTTGGTGTTTGTAATAAAGGCTTGCTGGGCTTTTTTCACCCCTTGTTCTATGTACTTTTTTTTCTCATCCTCACTGATAGCAGACTTACGAGACTTGGATCGAATCTCTTGTTTCATTTTGTTATATTTTGTGATTTCAGAGAGGATTGAACTAAACTCCTCCTTGGAGATCTTACTGTCAGTGAGTGCCGTGGATATACGCTCACTTACTGTGTTCAGCTTTGCTTCAGCCAGAACCCTGATCTCGTCGTGTTTCAATGCCTTACGATGCAGTCTGCGGGATGCAAACTTAAGCGCCAACCCTAACACCCCTGCCACCCCAGCTGTTATTTCAATGCCTAGCACTACGGGGGTAGCCACGATGGTAGCTAACAACCCAACACCTGCCGCCCCCAGCCCCATGCTGGTTGCCATAAGGGCAGTATCAGCCCCGTCCACGATATTGAAAGCTCTATGGTACTTCTTGCATAGTGCTTTACGCGTGTCGCGGTCTTGTTCTAGTTGGCATTTTACATCGCATAACTGCCTCAAGCGGAACCCGTCTACGGTTTCCAGGGTCTTCGCTACTTCCTCTACGACTGGGTACAGCCCCATCCTGTGTGTATATAATATATTCTAAAAAAGATCTTTAAATCGTACGACATTTAATTCTTGCATAGTATATTTCAGGCTTATAAGGTTTAGATTATTGTACAGGGTAATAGGTGAGAGGCTAATAGGTAACTCTGCGTCTACACGAACATTAATGGGGCAGCTTAATAAGGGGGTTATAGAACCCGTTGAGGGGTCCGGTCGTATGATGATACGGCAACGTTGGTGCCTGTCAGTGATGCCCCAGCGTATTGTCACCCCAGGTAAAAGTTGTCGTTCTGTATCATTGCGAACCGATCCGAGGAAGACTTCTATGGCGAGTGTGGAGCCTGGGTCCACAGTCATATAGGCTAATGAGGTATCGGGGGCGTCAAACCTTAACTCACCCTCCCGGCCTGAAACAACTAACATGTTATTCGTGTGATCATATGTTAGCTGAGCACTTATCTTATGGTTCGGAACGAAAACCCCAAACAAGAGGCCGTTGTTCCTAATTTCAAAGACCTCCCTATCTTTTTTTAACGATATATAAGGTGCGGTGAGGGTCATGTTGATCAACCATTTGGGTTCTATAAAGTCGTCTGGCAGGCGCCACCGTATGTACACACCATCTCTTAAGTGTAGACCGTACGGTTTTTTTTCCTCACCAGGCCGATCGAACCCCCTTGTGCCTCCTAGGTCCCCGAGGGTGATTTTGGGTAGATGATCGGTCATTACCGCCCGCCTATACACGTTGTCTTTCAAGTGCAGGGCGTACAAGGTGTCTTCCTCACCAGGCTGATCGAATCCCTCCGTGTCCCCTAGGTCATTAAGCGTAGTGTTGGGTCGATGACTGGTCATTGCTATAATACTATTACGATATAGTTTCCAACTGGTTTTCTGATAATAGTTCAGGGGTGAACTTCACCCCCATGAAGTGTATGTTGTCAGGTAGGAAGATCTTGGTTAGTGATATCGTGTTTTCCACGATCACGGTGACACCCTGCAGACTGGTGTTGGAGCCGACACCCACCCGCACGTAAACTGTGCAAACGTGATACTGGTGTCGTTTCACCCACCCGAGTTTGACCCTTCACGATCTCGACCTCATTCCCCGATGGTTCCCCTAGGTAGACTTTGATGATCAGTGTTGAGTTCGCGGTAGACTCTCCAGTATCCTGACCACGCCTTCAAATTCAGACACCAACTGCAATGTCACGTTTTGTATTCCCGGTTTACTCGATAGCATGTGGGCTGCCATACTGGCGACTGGGCTGATGGCTACGCTACGTCTCTGAGTCGGGACGTAAGCCACGAGCAGGGTTCCGTTGTTAACGACTTTGTTTAGGTGGTTGTCTTTGTTATCCGTGAACACGTAGGGGGAGCCGAGCCTAATATTGAGAAACCAGTCGTCTTTATCTGGTAACAACACCCACTTGTCATCTTCGGTGAAGACGAGCGTATATGGCTTGTTTTGGGCTGACGGTAGTGCTCTCTCAACATCGTCTAAGTCGAACAGTTTGCCCCCGAACGATGGGTATATTATCCATTTATCATCCCCGGTGGTGACTAGGGTGTACCGAGTGTTGACTGTCGCTCTTGTGGTATCTACTATATCACCTAGGGCTCCACCGGAGGGGACTTCAACGCGTTTGTAAATGTTGTTTTTCAGTTGTAAGGCGTACAATTTACCATCTACTCCGGGAGCGTCGAATCCGCGTGTGTCCCCGAGGTCGGAGATCCCCACATTGACGCATTTTTCACCCGGCCCTTGTGAAGCTGGTCATTTTATGTGAAGCGTTAAGCTGAGGTATCCTATATTGACGGGATTATGATTTATATCTAACACCGATATTATCAGCTCAGGTATGTTGCCCTGAGTCAACCTCTTATACTGCCGCGGTGAAAACGACTCAGTTCTACCGTCGTTGTATTTCTCCGTTTTCACCGGTACGGCTCTCAGTATAGTGGAAGGGTGACCCCCTTGAATGTTGTATGTTGTGCTCACCTGACCGAGATGAATGTACAGCTCTCGGTACGGTACTAGGTCGGGTAACTTCGTACCTGTGACGGTTGTTGTTGGTTTTATCTGGTCAGGCGGTATACCGAGTGTCCTCGCTAATGGCCGGCCGAGCCTCAAGGACTTTCTTCCGTTGTTGATTAACACCACTGTGCCGTTTGAGTCGTTCATCTTGAGTTCTGCTCCCAAGGGTTTGAAGACCTCGTCGCTTAGCGAGCACACGCTGTAGTAGCCGTCAGTTATCTGGATGCGAGCTCCACTGACGAACAGCTTATTGTTGCTGGCGTTGATGTTAGTCCATTGCGGTAGGTAGGTGATATCGCAGAGTGCGACTTCGAGTTGACCCGACGTGTTATCGATCACGTGCGTCAGCTGAACGGCCTCGCCGCTCGTTATTCCTGGAAGTGTTATGTACATGTTAGAGTATATATGCTCATTATATAATAGTTTTAAAATGTATTCCCCTGGAGTGTTTTACCCTAAACTGGACGTAGATTTCTCGCCCATGAAGATCGCGGTCGCTGATGGGATGTATTTCAACGCCCAGCTTTTAGATGTGTTCAGCCTGTATAAATTTTCGGTGACTAACGCTAAGGTAGTTCATGCTTGGTTCAACAACCCGATGCAGTTCTGGCAGAATCAACTCAACTTCGCCGTGTGGTGCGCTACAACGGGGTGTGGTGTGACATTAACCGACACTCGGCGTGGACCGCTGAGTCAGTCTGTGTTCACGTTCCACGTGTACTACCAGGTCAGGCGTATCCTTAAAGAAATCAGCGCTCCGGTCCCACAGGACAACGATGGAACGCAGTAAACAACGATAGTTGTAAAGTACGATAGGCGGGCCTACGAACGTATTTGCAACGAATTCGAACTAAACACGAAGACGGATTAGCGTTTGCCGGGACCGAACCGCGGGTTGGGTATCCCCATCGTTCACAACATGCACCTCGTGGATGCCAGCAAGAAGTTGAAAGAATGGGGATATAAGTCGTATCATCACCTCACAACGAACGAGTGGGATGACCGTTACATGGCTTTCGACAACAGTAAGGATTACCAAGTCTGGAGGTTCGAGCAGGGGGCAGCGGATGACTGGAAAAAGTTCATGCTGGACACGTAAAGGATTCACTCGTGCCGGGGTAATCAGGTTAAACGACTCGATTCGAACGTACGTGTGGGCGCTGTTGGGTGCGCAGACGCAAACGCGTTCCAACATCCTCGGTAAGGGGACTGCTTACGACGCTCAGAAACAGTTCGTTGTTAACGTTGAGGATGCTATCAATGCTCCAGTTGATCTCCCGAGTGCCATCAAACGCTACCAAGACGTGTTGGAATACGCCAGGTCGAAAGTCGACTACGTCTTCGACGTGGGACTGTACATGGCTCCGAGCGATATGCAACTGAGAGTAAAAAAAGTGGTGGGCTACAACAACGAATAGTCATAGTCACGGCGGACCAAAAGTTGGGCGTCAACCTCGATGTCAACGTCCCCCACGTCCCACCACCCACGACCGGTGAAACGGGTATAGTGGCGTCACCCCCGGAGCCTAGGGTGCAACCAACACACCCACAGCCCCAGCCTGCAGCGTCCAATCAGCAGCATATCGATCGTAAAACAGCTATGGTGGTTGGTGGGGTAGCTTTGGGGCTTATTTGGTTAAAAATTCCTTAGCCGCTATGTATACCAAACCCGCCACGGCGACAATGGCTGCCCACAGGTTTTGACTAAGCCACGTGGCAGTTTTAGCCAGAGCGCTCAGCAGCCACGAAACGATGCTACCCAGGATGCCGGGTAGGGCTTCGGCGGCCTTACCAGCCAGTTTAGCCAGGGCTTCCCCGATTTTTTTTATCCAGGCTTTGACACCCCCA